CCCTATAAAAGGGCTCTTAACTCAGGCTTTTGGGAGATTTTTTTTTTTTTCGAACCAGTACCCACCCTATCCCCATCCTTAGCCAATATTGTATGTGACATACTGTGAGTTCATATCTTTTTCTGGGGAGCTAGTCTGTAGCTTTCATCAAATTCTCAAAGGGGCCCATGACCCCCCAAAAAGTTTAAGAATCTAATAACAACAACAAAAGATTAAGAACCTATTGCTCTAGTACTCTTGCTTGAAAACAATAAACAATTTGATAAATAAAAGGAATGGAGGGGGTTTTTTTTTGTTTCTTTGTTTTTTAAAGATGACCAGTGAGGGGGGATCTTAACCCTTGATTTGGTGGTGTTAGCACCACACTCTCCCAAGTGAGCCACGGGCTGGCCCCGGAATGGAAGTTTTTGAAACACAAAGATGGTAAGCTTACTGACCTTAAGATTTTAAAAGATGGTACCAACATAAAAGATATGGGATAGAGAATTACAAATTCGAGAATGGTAAAGTTATTTGAATTGTTAAGGGAAGGTGGAAGTGTTAGTGGTACATTTCTTTCATTCATTGAAAAGTTTATAGGATGCCTGTTGTGTATCAGGCATTGTAGTAAGAATTGCAGGTACTCAGTGTAGTGTAGTGTAAAGAGTGCAGAAATTGTTAACAACAGGAGGAAGAATGCTGTGGTTAGAAGTATGAACCAGATGCATTGGGAGTCTAGAGGAGGGCATGACTCCTGACCTTTTGGAGCAGATATGCTGTGAATCTTGCCCTCCTAAAAACACTTTATCTCTGGATGCCTAAGTCAGAAAGTCTTCACCATTGTCTTATTTCTTATGCAGCCCTCAGTAGATGTTCAATTAATGAAATATATGTAGTAATCTGTTTTTAGTTAAGCCAGTGCAGTTGATAAAGTTTGTATATAATTTTTTCAAGTGTCTCTAGTATATTTTTGTGTTCATTAAATCTTTCTCTTTCTTTCTTTTTGTTTTGTTTTGTTTTGTTATTATCCCCCTTTTTAAAAGAAAGGTCACACACCAAACATGTAGCAGAACTGGGAGTCAAATCCAGGTCTGTCTAGCTTCAAAACCCATGCTCTTGGGCTGGCCCGGTGGCGCACTGCTACAGTGCGCTGCTTGGGAGCGCTGCGGCGCTCCCGCCGGGGGTTCGGATCCCACGTACAGACCGGTTCCCGCTCACTGGCTGAGCGAGGTGCGGGTGCAACACCGAGGGTTGCGATCCCGTTGCCGGTCCCGGTCCGGTCCGGGCGTGACACTGAGGGTTGCGATCTGTTGCTGGTCACGAAAAAAGACAAAAAGGAAAAAAAAAAAAACCATGCTCTTTGTTTGAGACATATCAAACAGTCCTCATCCTTGGGAACTTTATAGTCTGGTTATGATAAGACCAACCCCCCCCTCCACTCCCCCCAAAATGAAAGATTAGTTATAGTAAAACTATAAATGCCACAAGCTTAGTTGAATTTACTCTGACTCCTGTAAGGAGTGGCTTAGATTTAAATATCTGCTCTGTCACTAATTAGTTTTGTAATCTTCGACAAGTTACATAACTTTTCTGAGCTCAGATTTCTTCACCTGTTAAATGTCGGGATAATAATGATTATAAAGACAAAGTGAGATAATACAAAATTCCAGACACATAGGAGGCACTGGATAATATGATTATTGTGTCTGGCCGCGAAACAATTGGGTCGCCCCTCTGTATTGTTTACACCTCAGCTTTTCTTTCTTTGGCTCTTGGTACATCCACGTCTCCAGCGGCTCACACAAAGATCTCTTAAAGGAGTTAGTTTTTGCCTGAGGGTAAGCCATTTTTAGGAAGCTTCTCCTTGATTTTTTTCCCTTACTACAGCCTGCTTTGCCTCTCCAAGAGAAGTGAAGCCCAGGAGAGAAATACAGAGTTGAAAAAGAAAAGGAGGGCCGGCCCATGGCTCACTCGGGAGAGTGCGGTGCTGATGGCACCAAGGCCCCGGGTTCGGATCCATATAGGGATGGCCGGTTAGCTTGCTGGCTGAGCGTGGTGCTGACAACACCAAGTCAAGGGTTAAGATCCCCTTACCAGTCATCTTTTAAGAAAAAAGAAAAAAAGAAAAAGAAAAGGAAAAAAAGATTATCAGGGAACTGTACATCTTAGGTACCTGTAAACCTCTTGTTGCCTTTAGGCTGCATGATAGTGTCTGAGGGTATAAATTTTAGTTTCCCAAATTTTATACAATCAGCTCTTCCTTGTTTAAATAAAGTGCCCTCCCTTTTCACACCCTTTCCTCCCTCATTGAGAAGCAGAGGACAAGCATGAGGTCGGAAGTTAAAGAAAGCCTGGATTTTAATCCTTATTCTGGTACTTTAATAGCTTTGTGACCTAGGGATAGTTAATTAACCTCTGTGAGTTTCAGGTTCCTCAGTTGTAAGATTGTGATAGTACCAGCTAATTCACTAAGTTATTTTTGAGGGTAAATGAGGTAATGTTTGTGCAGCATTTGATATATAGTAGGCATTGAATAAAGGCCTCCACTTCCGAACCTGGAAGTTAACCCTTCTTAAAGGTTCAAGTTGCTTTTTAGTTTTTTGCTTTCTGGGCTGAACTACTCTGATTCTTTTATCTTTTCAACACTCAGTTTTATTTAAATGATCGTTCTCTGCATTCTCTAAAAATGCTTTCATATTCTTTAAAATAGTGTGAAAGAAATCAAAGGGATTCTGAGATCCGACTAATTCAGAATCTGACAGATCCATGTTATAGAAAGACCTTAAATTCATAAGGTCCATTACATAGCACATATAAACACACTTTCCTACTGTGTTCAGTTTTGCAGTCCTGTTGTCTGTAGGAGTAGAGCAGATGAACAGACTTTGAGTCTCATCTTCTTACACTAACCAACTAAGGTTTCTGGAAAGCAGTATCAAATACAGCTGAAAGGCCTAACCTATTCCCCTAATACAGAGGGGTGTAGATAAAACGAAGTATGTAATTTGTTCCACATTCTTACAAGCTCTTCAGTGATGTTTTCAGGTCAGATTTACTTTGTGTTCCAAGCAGTGAAACATAGGAGTGTGAAGAGCACTGTCATTTAAAGTTTTCTTCTCACAGGCATAAAGATTTAGTTAAGAGTATTTACAATCAATTAGCAGTTTTTGTTTTGTTTTTTTGTTGTTGGCTGGTCAGTACAGGGATCCAAACCCATGACCTTGGAGTTACAAGGCTGTGTGCTAACCAACTGAGCTAACTGGCCAGCCCCAAGCAGTTTTAATTGTCAGAAAACAAGGGAGTATGTGCTCAGCGAGCTCATTATACAGTATTAACATCTGAAATTAGGCTTTTTAATAAACAGGAGCCTCAGTTTGAAATTCTGAACTCTGTGAAGTCTGTCAGAGTCAAAGTAACTTTCCTTCATCTATGTACTTCACAGCTATACTTAGTCTAAACAGTTATTTTTAAAACTGTTAAGGGTGCAGAATGTATTTAAGATAGGGTATCTTTATATCTTAAACCAGGGGTTTTCAGAATGTGATCCCTAGACCAGCAGTGTCAACATCATCTAGTAACTTGTTGGAAATGCAAATTCCTAACACAAAACCTAGACTGGGTTTGGGGCCCAACAGTGTAGTTTAACAAGTTCTCCACGTGATTCTAATGCATGTTGAGGTTTGAGAACTCTTGCCTTAAAATTATAGGAGATAGAAACAAGATATGGGAATATTATATAGGAGAACATTCTGTGTTATTTAGAATGTTGTACTGATTTTAGGGAGTACTGTATAAATTTCTTTTTTTTGACTGTTCTCAGTGGACCACATAAGCTTTCAGATGCGGCTCATTCCTTGGACACTCTGCCCCATCTGTGTTGGAACTCCTGTTACAGCACTTCATTGCCACCCCCATAGACTGAGAACTCCAGTATATAAACAGTGGATTTGGGGACCATATCTGACTTGCTCTGTTGTATCTCTTGTGTGTTGCAAGATAGGTGCCTGGCCCTTAGTAAGATAATGGCCCTTAGTGCTTCATGACCATACCTGTATCTCTCCCTTCATCTGCCTCTTCATAGGAAGCACTCAGACACTTGCAGTCATTGAGTAAATAAATGAAGTTCCTTAATGATAGGAAATCTTTTTGGATGCTAAGGTTCTAGCTGATGAAAATGTCTTAACCTGTGAATTGAAAATGCCTTTGGTGCTGAAGGATGTGTCTGTGGCCTTGATGGTGATGGTGTATACTTATTTCCAGGCTCATCATTGTATGCATTAAATATGTACAGCTTTTTACATGCCAGCCATACCTCAATAAAGTGGTTATAAAAAGAAAGAAAAAGAAAGTACTCGGTGCATCTTCTGCATTGACTGAATTTGGCCTAGATCATGACTATATATTAAGTACTTTCTAAGAAATGGGCTTTAATTAGGCATGTGTACATATGTTATTTTATTGCCTTTATAGCAACCTCTTGAGGTAGATCTGACTTCATTTTACAAATGAGGAAACCAAAGTTCAGAGCAATTAAATAACTTGTCTTAAGTTCATACAAGTGAGTGGCAGAGTAAGAACCGGGTCTTTCAGTCTTTTAAGGATTAGTATCCAAAGCACTACTGTCACAGTGGAATTTATTGCAACTATTCATCGTATATTTAAATTATTTGCTTTTGTTTCTTCATTAAGATAAAACTTTACTTTTTCTTGATGCAGATTTTTATTTTTATTTTTTTAGTTCCTTTTTCATCTTTTCCCCCATCTCACCACATTAATTTTGTTAAATCCATTTAATCTTGAGTAAAGAAACATCTGAATGTCTCTGATGTAGAGGCTTCAGCAGGCTTTGGGTTTTCTAGTTAAGCTCATAAAGCTTTGGTGCTTTCAGCCAGTCTGTCTGAAATTAGTACATTGATCTGAACTATTTAGTTTCATTATGTGGCACTCCATGTTATTGCTTTAAGCAGACAGAAATTGCCTTTATTTACCAGAGCAAAAATAAAATTGTTTTTTCTATTCAGAAATTGAGAAGATCCAGAAAGGGGATTCAAAAAAAGACGATGAGGAGAATTATTTGGATTTATTTTCTCATAAGAACATGAAGCTGAAAGAGCGGGTGCTGATACCTGTCAAGCAGTATCCCAAGGTAAGGCAAAAAGTACCTCACTTCTTTGAGTTATCTTTGTTGGTCATGGACTTCTGGGAATTGTGATGCTTCAGGTACTTTGCCTGTAAACCTTTTCTTCCATGCTGGCAGTACCTGTTTCTGGCAGTTGAAATATCTTAAGTCCATAACTAATAATATAGCTATAGCCAAGGAAGTAAATGTACTTATTTTTTATTAAAGAGTTTCTTTTTCAAATGTTTGTTCAGGCTTGAAGTTCAAAGAAAAACATCGAACCTTGAAGAGAAATTCTCTGTACAAAGATTGACCTGAAATCTAAAGAAAAGGGAGTGTAACACAAATCCTTGATTGGATGAAGTTTTTTTTTTTTTTGGTGGCTGGCTTCTAAGGGTATACAAACCCATGACCTTGGTGTTATCGGCTAACTGGCCAGCCCTGGATGAAGTTAATTTTATTTCTTACTCAAAGTTTTCTTTTAAAGGCTGGCCAGTTAGCTCAGTTGGTTAGAGCACGGTGTTTATAACACCATGGTCAAGGGTTAGGATCTCTTACTGGCCAGCCACCAAAAAAATTAAAACAAAGTTTACTTTTTTTTTTTTTTTTTTTTTAAATATGACCAGTAAGGGGATCTTAACCCTTGACTTGGTGTTGTCAGCGCCGTGCTCTCCCAAGTGAGCTAACTGGCTGTCCCTATATGGGGAACCAAACCCATGGCCATGGTGTTATCAGCACCACACTCCCCAAGTGAGTCACGGGCCGGCCCTAAAAAAGTTTATTTTTAAGGAAATACTTTCTTCTTCTCCTTTTCCTTCTCTTTCTCCTTTTTTTGGAAAGGCAATTATATTTAGTTTACCAAATGTACTGTCAAAAACTATAATATGTCTGCTCTAAGGTCACTGCCTTAAAAATGTTTATGTATGTTAAAATACTAAGGGTTGGAGTGTGTTATGGAAGCAGCACCAGACTATATCAGAAAACCCAAATTCAAGTCTAGGACCTGCCACTTTCTAGTTATATAACCTTAAGCTATTCACTTTGTCAGTACAGCCTCAATATATCCTTCAGTATAATGGGAATGGTTATCCTCTACCTATTTTACAGGGTTGTTGGAGATCAAATAAGGTAATAGTCGTGGAAATGTTTTATTGGAGCATGTGTATTTAGACATCTGTTCTTTTCTGTTAGTTCAATTTTGTGGGGAAGATTCTTGGACCACAAGGGAATACAATCAAAAGACTGCAGGAAGAGACTGGTGCAAAGATCTCTGTGTTGGGAAAGGGCTCAATGAGAGATAAAGCCAAGGTAAGCTCACATTAGTGAGGTAAGAGGACACCCTAATGCCTTCTAGTTGTCCAGTCTAGAGTGAATGCCTTATGGAAGCAACCATTTTGTATATGTATGGAATGTGATTCCTTTAAGTTTGTGTTGGATGCAAAAGATTATAGACTAAGTTAATTTGTTGCTTGGCTACCCTGGAAGAACCTAGCTGTGCCCGAGTAGTTGTTTTCTTTCTGACTTTTGACTGCATAGTAATGGAAAATCCTTTATCTTCTGAGCAAGGGAGAACTGGGATCTTATGCTGTTGTGAAGAAAGAGGTTCTTTTTTTTTTCTTTTTTTTTTTAAGAGGATGGTAAGGAGATCTTAACCCTTGACTTGGTGTTCTCAGCACTGCGCTCTCCCAAGTGAGCTAACCAGCCATCCCTATGTAGGGATCCAAACCCTTGGCCTTGATGTTATCAGCACCACACTCTCCCAAGTGAGCCACTGGCTGGCCCGAGAAAGAGGTTCTTAACCAGGGTCTTTGCATACCCTGTTTAAGAAACTGTATACCAGATTCTGTATTTATGTTCATTTTTCTGAGGTGGTCCATTATTTGTACCTTGTTCTCAAAGCACTGTGCTCCAAGGCCAGTCTGCCCCTCCTTGTCTAATGTGGTTTTCCTATCATATGTTGTTAATATGATAGGATCCACAATGTATCTGCATTCTAATATCTGTTTTAACAAGGTTTAATTTAAGATTTAACTTAACTGAGCTAAGTGTTTTGGTGCTACCATGGAACCAGGAACTAAGTGGGTCCTGCGGACAGCTGCCTCTGTAGCCCTTCCCTCCCCCGCCCCGTACTCATGGTCTAGAGAGTCTAGAGGCTGACAGCAAGAAGCTTGTAGCATTCGTGTTAAATGGATTAAATTCTGACCTGGGTGCACTTAGGAGTTTCTCTCTTGGAGGAGTTTACTCAAAGTAGAGTTTTATTTGGAAGAGGCATGATTGTTACAGGCTTGGCTGTTCGATGATGTTAAACAGATTGGTGTGCATCTTCTTTCAGACTGCAACTGAGGCCAGAAAGTTGGTATGGGCCAGATTATCTGTCTTGCTTATTACCATATGGTCAGATTATTGCTTTGAATAAGTAGAAAGTGGTGCTATTTTTGCCTTTTAGCAAGACCTGGTGGTTGTCAGAGTTGACATAGTATTGTTGAATATTTAATATCAAGGATGAATCTCGAACTTTAGGAAGGATTTGGAATACTATTCAACTAGAATTGAGTAAGCGTTATGTTTACATCAGTAAAACTAAGCAGAGGTATAGTCCTTGGTTTTCTTGAACATAAAATGAGCTGGAACTAAATGTGGTGTCAGAGGATGTGAGACTTGGTAGAGCAAAAATTTATAGGCACGGGCCGGCCCGGTGGCGCACTGCTATAGTGCGCCGCTTGGGAGCGCGGCGGCGCTCCCGCCGAGGGTTCGGATCCCACATACAGACCAGTTCCCGCTCACTGGCTGAGCGAGGTACGGGCGCAACGCCGAGGGTTGCGATCCATTGCCGGTCACGAAAAAAGACAAAAAGGAAAAAAAAAAATTTATAGGCACTGTGTCCCTGTCATGCTGAATTCCAAGGATTTCCAGTATTATCTCAAATGTGTCAGCAGCTGCTTTGTTTCCAGGTGCCTTGTCCTTACTAGAATGTTCAACATCAAATATCCGATTTAAAATATCCTAGAGAAAAACTCACAGCTGGATAAGTTTTCCTCGAGGGAGTGCTTTTTACTCTTTTTTTTTTTTTTTTTTTTTTGACTGGTAAGGGGATTGCAACCCTCGGCTCGGTGTGGGCTGCACCACGCTCAGCCAGTGAGTGCACCGGCCATCCCTTTATAGGATGCGAACCCGCGGCCTCAGCACTACCAGTGCCGCACTCTCCCGAGTGAGCCACAGGGCCGGCCCATACTCTTCTTTTTGATGGGCTCTGTTGAAGCATCTTGGGCTACCCAGTTTCTGGAGGTCTACCTGTCTGCTCTTTTATCTTTAGTCTTGAGCATATTTTTCAGAAGGGTTAGATTTATGAGGCTTCCATGTAAGTGATCTTTGAAAAAGCTGCCCGCCACGGAGACCTGGGTGTCCTCAGTATTAGTGCGGCCATTGGAGGAATCTGCACAATGGGCTAGAATTGGTTACTTGATTTTCCAATGTGAGTCTCAAGCAGCAATGATGTGTAAGGTAGGGGGAGGTCCAGAGTTGAGAGGACATCTCTGTAGTGACTAGAATCTTATTTTCTTGAAGCTGTATCCACCTGGGATATATAAAAATGTGTGAAGTGTTAGTACTGAATAGCTCTCAACAGGAAACATGTCAAAAGATTTGCAAATGGTATTTGACTTAATTCTTCCCTCTTCCGAAGAGAAAAACAAAGTGAGCCTATTCTTGCATCTATGACCAGAGTCCCCAGTTTTCCCCTTAGAACCATTAACTGTACCAGGAAGGCTTCATGGTACAGTAGGAAGAACACTGGACTGGGAGCTCTATGTGCATCATCTTGGACAAGTTATTGCACTTTTCTGAACCTTAGGTTTCTTATTCATCTCAGACATTTGTTAAATATTTGGTAGATCTGAAATTTAAAAAATGGCTCCAAAGTGCAGTAATGACCCAAGAAGAGCTCACAGTCTAGTGAGAAAGACAAACAGTTCTAAAATTATATGGTAAATGGTGCTTTGGGAAAAGGGGAGGTGTGGGGGCAGTATTAAGAGAAAGTTTTTCAAAAGAAGTTCTGTATTAGGGAAGTCTTGTAAGGGTGAGTTAGAGTCCCTCAAGTGAATGAAAAAGACAATATAGCCTATTGATCCAAAGCCTAGACTTTGGAGACAGGTAGTTCTGAATTTACGTAGAACGTGCCTCTTATTAATTCTATGTCTTTAGGCTGATTGATTTATACTCCCTGAATCTGTAAAATGAAGAGATCTGCATATTCAGGGTCATTTTGAAAATTAAATTGAGAAGTCTATAAAAAGCTTATCTAGTGCCTCGTGCATAGAGCTCCATTAATGGTAGTGGCTTTTATTATTCCAGGAGAAGGAAACTATTTTCAAAGGATGGATATGTGAGAATATGCCAGGCTCTGAACTATAAGTTGTTCAGCTTGGCTGGAGAGGAGGTTAGTTCTATTTGGAGAGAGGATGGAAGTGATTTGGAGAGCTAGGCAGGGACCACATTATGAACAGCTCCATCTGAATAATAAGGGGTCTGCCATCAAGACTTTCGTCAAAGATGTGACGGGCAGGGTGCCATTGACTTCAGAGAATGAATAACTTGAGACTTCATTGGGGCCGTCAAAGCTGTTCTTAGTATGCAAGGCTCATGTGGGCCAGATGACTTCTCAGTACAAGGTGATGTTGTTCAGTACTCCTTGTATTTTTCATTCCCAGGATATGATGGATGATATCTGCCAGGAGCAATTTCTAGAGCTGTCCTACTTGAATGGAGTACCTGAGCCCTCTCGTGGACGTGGGGTGCCAGTGAGAGGCCGGGGAGCTGCACCTCCGCCTCCACCTGTTCCCAGGTAAAAATAATGGAGATAGCCAGAAGTAGGATGTAAATTTGACTACTGGTACCTTCTCTCTCTTAGTAGTGCTCTGATCTCCAGCTTAGGAGGGGTGTCAGGATTTGTGTGTTGTATCAAGAATGGAATTCTAGATCTTGGGCACTTTGACTATAGTCGAGTGCTTCAGTCCTGCTGAAACTTTTGGTCTTTTAATTTTGGACAGTCCTAGCAGTTTTTAATAGTTTGACTTTAGAATTTTATTTTATTTATTTATTTATTTTATTTTTTTTTTTATGACCGGTAAGGGGATCTCAACCTTTGGCTTGGTGTTGTCAGCACCACGCTCAGCCAGTGAGCCAACCGGCCATCCCTATATAGGATCCAAACCTGTGGCCTTGGTGTTATCAGCACCGCACTCTCCCGAGTGAGCCACGGGCTGGCCCTGACTTTAGAATTTTACCTTTAGCAACTGATCTTTCTGGAATGTTAAGACTCTCCAGACCTGCCCGAGGCAGTGGACACTGGTCCACTATGGGACCTGGGGAGTTTTCCAGTGTGGGTCCTTTACTTACCATCATATTCCACTGTGCTTTAATAATAGTTTAGTTAAGGCATCATCAAATCTATCTAGCTCCAGAATTTGCAAACAAGTCTGAACATACAAATGGCCTATTTGTAAAAACTCCGTTTAAAATAAACTTTCTTTTTGTAGGGGCCGTGGTGTTGGACCACCTCGGGGGGCTTTGGTGCGTGGTACACCAGTGAGAGGAGCCATCACCAGAGGTGCCACTGTGACTCGAGGAGTGCCACCCCCACCTACTGTGAGGGGTGCTCCAACACCAAGAGCACGGACAGCAGGCATCCAGAGAATACCTTTGCCTCCACCCCCTGCACCAGAAACATATGAAGAATATGTAAGAAATTTGAATAGTGTTCCATCTCCCAGTATCTGGAAGGTTGCCAAAGGAAATTGAATGTCAGGGCCTTGGCTCTTTATGCACATGGCAGGGACTGCCTATAAGATTTGGAATCTACAGTTTTCTCTTGCAGTGAATGTTTAACTATAAAGAGATTTTTCCATTTTAGGCATGTTTTACTATATGTGTGTAGATTAAACAGGAAATAAACTGTCTTAAGGTACAGTGTTTTACTCTAAGGGATCTCTCACTATTAGTCCTGATAATACTGAAGTCCTGATAAATACTAAAGTACTTTATTTTCTGCCCATACTTGTCCTGTGGCATATCGTGTTTGTTTGGGGTTGGTTGGTTTAGTAACCGTTTCTCTCTAGACTACTCCACAGTGGATGTTAGCATTTTGGAGGGGAATTTCATGTCCTTTTAATGCAGAAGCCTGCCATACCCCCCATTGGATATAATTACCTTCCCTACTCTTGTTATTCTGACTTTCTATTTCATTTTATTCGTTCTAGGGATATGATGATACATATGCAGAACAGAGTTATGAAGGCTACGAAGGTTATTACAGCCAGAGCCAAGGGTGAGTCAGGCAACAGAAGTGCCGTTTTACATCCTAGGGTTGGATGAAGGAATTGGAGGAACTGAGAGTTTTAGGCAGCACCTGAGGAACAGAATGGCTCACCTTCTGAGGATATCTTCTTTGATGAGGCATACACTTAAACCTGCAAATTTGGATATCTGTGAATTTTAAATTATGATTTAGAATCTGGGAATAGCAGGTGAAATTCCTGAGCAGTAACTACCTGGAAACAAAGAGCAAATGCCTTTAAATTATTTTGATTTATTATTTAAAAATATCACAGCCACATTAAAGTTGGATAAAAATTTTAAAGGAAGCTAGAATTTCACTACCATAACTTAGGTTGTTTTCTGCATTTCTAGAAACAAAGAGCAAATGCCTTTAAATTATTTTGATTTATTATTTAAAAATATCACAGCCACATTAAAGTTGCATAAAAATTTTAAAGGAAGCTAGAATTTCACTACCATAACTTAGGTTGTTTTCTGCATTTCTCTTAAAAACCTTTTTGTGTCTGTGTAGTGTATATGTATCTTACCTGTAATTGATAGAAAAGGTCAGAATTCAGCCCAAGGAACAGTTCCTTTTTCTTTTTTCTGACGACTGGCTGGTACAGGGATGGAACCTTAGACTATGGTGTAATCAGTGGCATGCTGTAACCAACTGTGTTAACCCGCCAGCCCAGAACAGTTCTTATCCTGTTTGTTTATTCTCTTCCAGTGAGCCCTAAAATACATGTGTATGTACACTGTGATTAAGAGAGTCAATTTAGGATTGTGGTTTTTTGCTTTAAATTGTGCAGTATCCATTTTCCTTTGCTGCAGGTGTTAATAATGTTTTTATGAGTGCGTAGTATATACATGTTTTGGAAATATTTTGAGGTTTAGGTCTGGTGCAGAATGAGTATTTTCCTGTATTGTACACATAAAAAAATGAGTGAGATATGGAAGAATTTGAGAAAAAGGTGAAACATAATTACTCTGTAGCTTACTAATACGTTGTCTTTGACTTTCAGGGACTCAGAATATTATGACTATGGACATGGGGAGGTTCAAGATTCTTATGAAGCTTATGGTATGTCCTTATTTCTGTGGTGGGGCAGAATGTACAAGTAAGTGCCTGGGAGGGTGCTGGTGGCTGAATTATTGGGAGTAAGACAGTCATACACCTAAGGAGAAGCCTTTAGACGGTCCAGGTGTTGGTAGATGTGACAGTAAGAGTCCTTCTCTTATTTAAGTTTTGTGGTGTGTGGTAGAAAGAGGGACTACTAAAGTGAGATTGGGGGTACTATTACTCTTGGAAGGCTAAGTACATGTCTTAAACTAGGGCTCAGGTCCAACTTTGCCTGGTTGGAGCATCAGACTTTTAAGCTGATGTTCTTGTTTTCTATTTTAGGCAGGTAGACAGCTAGACCTGGGTTGTATTTCTGGGCCTTTTATGCTGATAGCTAGGCCACATTGGTAGATAACAAGAACTTAATCGTGTCCAATTCTATGCTTCTGCCTCATCTCGTTTAAAAAAAATTTTTTTGGATCTCATTGAAAAGAATCTCAATGTAGAGGAAATGCCAGCTGAAAGGGACCTGGGTGGCAAGCAGCTAGCCAGAGCAGGTTAGGGGGCAAGAACAGTGCCTGTAAGAATCAGAGGCTGTAGGGGCCGGAGCCAATTCAGGGCAGTACTGGCATCATGCTCCTTACTAGCTTAGAGACATCTCAACTCAGTCTTTGATCCCAAGAGAGCTATAGAGGCTAGAACGGCAGCAGGACCAAACTGCCTTCCTTGGGGTTTGGTTACAAATACATTGCTCAAGTATGTCCTCTAGCCAATTATGGCCCCATGTTAATGGGCCCCAGAAGGAGTGCTGTGGATGCCGAGAGGGTTGCCTTTGTGAGATATTTTCAGCATATCTGAGGGACTACCAGAGAGTCATTGGCAAGGGGCTCAGCAGATGACAGTTCATCTTAAGACATTGGTTGGCAGTCTCCCCTTACTCCTAGCTGGTAAAGAGGGGCCTCTCACAGACGGACAAGCTGAGCTCAACTCTTCAGCACAGTATGAAGTAGCCAGTCAGCTGCTTGCTCAGGGAAACAGTTTTTACCAGTTTAGCTAAATAGCACTGGACAGTTGCGGTGAGTAACACTGCACTGTTCTGCTCATATATCACTATTTAGAAGAACAGTATGAGTGTACCTGGGTATTTCCCTCCATCATTGAGGCAGTACAACAGGGCCTCTTTACGTGCCTAAATTGCATTTCTGTTTTGCCGGATAGAAGACTGAACGGAAAGGCAAGCTGCTGCTTGTGGTCCTGGTATGATGTTGCCATGGTTAGTCTGTTCTGATCTCTGCCTTTTATAAGCAGAATTAGAAAAATAAACTGTCTTGTTGGTACTCAGAAGCCACTTGGAAAGTGATGGACATGTATATTATACTAGGGATGTAAATAAGGTTGTATGTGACTTTAGATTGATTCAGGAGTTTAAGACACCTATAGTCATGAAGGTAGGTATTTTTGAATGCAGGCAGCAGGAGAGATACTTCAGGAGTGAACTGGCATGGGTGAGGTATGGGAATGAGTGGGAAGAATAAGCTTAAATACAGCTAATTTTCATAAGAGGTCAGCTTTGTGGGTAAGTGATCATCTCGCTCAGGCAATTCCCTGTCATAGAGGAAAATCATTTGAGGCTGTCACCCATGTTGTGTGGCTTCTCTGGTTTGTCGGCATAAGAAAGGAGCTAAGGAATTCTCCTAAACAGTGTTGTAAATGGAACATTTGATTATATTTCCTTCCCCCAGAGCAGTTGGGTATCAGAGAGCCAGAGGACACTTCTCCACAGGGAGATCTGACTTGCCTATTGCACGGGAAAGGGGTGACCTGCTTTCATTCTGAGAGACTTTCAGAAGTATTGTCACCTTACCTGAGTTGCCTGCCACATTGCTTTGGGAACAGGAAAGGCCATTGGAGACCCACTGAGATTAGACACTCTCACTGGAGGGTGTTGGGTTTATCCAGGTTGGGGGACTGAAGTATAGATCATGTTGCCTGTGGAGAACCTCACTGCTGGAGATTACTCCAGAGCAAATGCCAGCCTTTTCTTCCATCCTTCACTCAAAACTGTGGAAAATTGCCCAGACTGCTTAGGAGGGCCAAACAGAGTGCAGAGCAAGAACCAACCACCAGGGACCCAGATCAAGACAATGGAAGAAAAGCAATGTTTTTGGCGATCTTTACCACGTGACCTACCCCTGCCCAGAATGCCATTGGCACATGGTTTATGAACTCTGCTTTTCCCACAGGCCAAGATGACTGGAATGGGACCAGGCCGTCGCTGAAGGCCCCTCCAGCTAGGCCAGTGAAAGGAGCATACAGAGAGCACCCATATGGACGTTATTAAAAACAAACATGAGGGGAAAATATCAGTTATGAGCAAAGTTGTTACTGATTTCTTGTATCTCCCAGGATTCCTGTTGCTTTACCCACAACAGACAAGTAATTGTCTAAGTGTTTTTCTTCGTGGTCCCCTTCTTCTCCCCACCTTACTCCATTCTTAACTCTGCATTCTGGCTTCTGTATGTAGTATTTTTAAATGAGTTAAAATAGATTTAGGAATATCGAATTAATTTTTTAAGTGTGTAGATGCTTTTTTTCTTTGTTGTGTTTAAATATAAACAGAAGTGTACCTTTTATAATAAAAAGTTGAGTAAAAAAAAAAAAAACCACAAACCTGTTAGTTTCAAAAGTGACATTGCTTGCTTAAAGGTTCTGAAGTAAAAGCTTGTTAACTTTCTCTTAGGTTTGATTTGAGGCATCCCGTAAAGTTGTAGTTGCAGAATCCCAAACTAGGCTACATTTCAAAATTCAGGGCTATTTAAGATTTAAAATCACAAACTTTAACGGCAGTAAGTGCCACCATGTAAAAGTGAGCTCAGATGTCTCTAAAATGTTTCCTTTAAAAGCACATGGCGGTTGAATCTTAAGGTTAAATTTTAATATGAAAGATCCTCATGAGTTAAATAGTTGATGCAATTTTTAGTGTTAATTGACTTTAAAAAACAACAAAATTAGCTTTGTAAAACTGACTTTTTCATCATGTGGGTTTTGAAATCTAGCCCCAGACATACAGTGTTGAGAGATACTTAGTGGGGGGAGTAAGTTCTGAAGAGGTTGATTGGGGGAGGGGGGCTGGCCACCTGAATTGAATTTGATGCAGAGCTTTTTAGCCTCAAACAATCTTTCAGTAATAGTAGTAGTAATTAAAATTTCAGTATTTAAAAAGACAGAGTATTTTGTCCATCTGAGGTTCTGCACTCCATGAAAAGCTCACTTGGACACTGGGGCCAAAAGCTAATGATTTTAAGTTGACGGTTGTCAATTAAACTGTTCCCAAGGTAGTCAGTCAAGTATGTCTCAACACTAGCATGATATAAAAAGGGACACTGCAGCTGAATGAAAAAGGAATCAAAATCCACTTTGTACATAAGTTAAAGTCCTAATTGGATTTGTACCGTCCTCCCATTTTGTTCTTGGAAGATTAAATGCTACATGTGTAAGTCTGCCTAAATAGGTAGCTTAAACTTATGTCAAAATGTCTGCAGCAGTTTGTCAATAAAGTTTAGTCCTTTTATAATCAAAGTAAATGTGATGAATTGTCATTTTTTTGGGTGGACAATAAAATAGTTTTTCTCTTTCAAATAAACTTAAATTAATTCTAAAGTTAATGGGCTTGTTAAAAGTTGGAGACATTCTTAAAAGTGGTGGGGGGGGTTTTATTTTAAGTTTACCAAAAAAAAGTTTATTGAGTTGCTAAGTTTTAGTTTAAAAATAACCAAAGCTTTTTCACCCCCTGGAAGTTGTTAAAAGCAGTTTTATCTAATCCTATCAAAAGTTCTAATTTCTGAGAGCTGGCAAGTTAGCTCAGTTGGTTAGAGTGTGGCCTCATAACACCAAATTCAAGGATTTGATTCCTTGTACTGGCACCTAAAAAAATAAATAAGTAACTTCTGGAGAGAAAAGCCCAACTGAGCCAAAACTTGGATTGGTTTCCATACATACATCTCAGTATTTAAAGTGCCAGCCACCCTTGTTTGCGCCTTCTGTAGAGCTCCTAGGTGGCTCTAACAAGTGGCATCAAATAATCTCTGCGCTCTGAAAGGGATAGCACCTGCCTTTGGATATGACAATTCAGCAAACCCTGGGTTCCTTTAATAAGGGTTTTCCTTCCAATCCCAGAAGTGCTGTTAATAACTCAGCTGGGCTGGGGCATGATAGGCTGGCTCTGAACTCCCTCCTAAGAGTCCAAGAGGGAAAATGATGGAATTGGTTGGCTCTGTTTCTGCTTCTCTATGTTAATTTTCAGGGTTCTCATACCTTCCCTAAGAGAGGCACCTAAACTGCTCGGGGGTGAAAAATTCTCTTGTATGAAGTGCCGAGCTGCCTGCAGCAGTGCATGATGGACATTTTTTTCTTTTTAAAACACACCAACAAAAATATGTATTTGTAGATTGTGATAAAGTGTAAATAACTGAATTTTCAACCATGGTTTGAAGTCAGCTTTCAGGGCATTATGTCTTGTTTTGATGAAAAGAGATCACTCTATACCCCCCTTTTTAAAGGAAAATTATCGCAAGAGAATCAGGATGTGTAAAGCTAACATGCATCGCAAAAAACCAAAGGTAACCTAAATGTCTGATTTTAATAGCACATATTTCTCTTTTACATAAACTGTGACAGCAGCTTGCATAAACAATTCTTTAGCTGTTAATTTTAATGTTAAAACTTTGAAAAACTTGTTTAATAAAAATAGCTGTAAAAAGAAAAACCATATGCTGCCACATAAATTAGCCATAACTCTTAATAATCCTGCCCATCAAAAATGAACTGTAATGTAACCTGGGCACAAAGTCTGACATCTTAAATGACACATTGTAAAATATCAATGACTGTAGATTAGACCTGCTGCACCCCAAAGTAAAGCTTTCTGCTCAGCTGTTTTAAAATATACGAGGATGAGCCCCTATAGGTCCCCATATTGATATTCGTAATGAAATGTTACTTAAAACTTCTTAAAGTTGCATGTTTCTCTCCTGTAATGTGTAAACTGCATGCAGGATCTCTTTATCTTTTATTTTGTATGTCTTTAAAACTTCCTCTTCAAAAGACTGACCTCTTATTTCTCCACTTTCAGGTGTTTGAAAGCTCCTAAGGCATTTCCTGGAATAGAATGGGTCGTGAAGACCCATGTCAGGTATGTTAAGGTGGCTTTCTATTAAGGACAGTGGGCCTTCTATCATAACTGTAAAACAGTTGGTAGAAGGTGGTCAATTGGCTAATCTTTCCTGCAATCATTTGTACTATATTTTACAACATGACCAGGCTTATATGTTGGTTTATAGTACATATTGAATTTACTTCTAATGATTGATAAGACCAGATAGTGTTCAGTCTCACTCTGTTTATCCTGTTAATAACTTGATGTGGTGGTGTTTCATTTAGAGTTCATTGGTTGCAAGCAGCAAAGTGGCTGATGTAAGTAGAAGGGAATTTATTAGAAAGATGTTAGGGCTCACAGATTTAGTGTGAAGTTTAGAAAATCTGGCCTAGGAACCATAGTGGCTGCAGAGAACTGGGACAGCAGTGGTAGACCACAGAAATGGTCTTGAAGCAGGGACTGGTTGCTTGGGCACTCTTACTGGAACAAGTAAGCTCTAGCTATGTTTGGTTTATTTCTCCCTCTACTCAGGATTCAAGTTCTAGGGAGGGAGTGTCAGTGGATTAGCTTGAATTACATGCCCTTACTTTACCAATATTCAATAAGAAAGAACTAGTTCCTCAAAAGTTAGTTGGGTTGTTATTAGGAAAGAGAAATGGATTCTGGGCAGCCAAAAAACAATTGTTCAGTAATATCTGTACTTTACAGAAGTAACTGAGACTTAATGAGGGTAATAACTTTTCAGGGTCACATAATTAGTATGGCTAGTAACCAAGCCCAAGTTTATGTGTTGCCAGAACCCATCATTTTAACCTTATATATACTTCTTTAATCTAGGGAAGGGGTATTTCTCACACTTAGGAAACCCTTCATAGGAATATTTTGGTATAGTAGAAAGGACATGGAACCTGACAAACCTAGAGTTGAATCTATGAGCTACCTTTTATTTAGTGACCTAAAACAAATCACTTATTTCTATATCCGAAGAAGGAAGATGGTGATAACACATATCTCATGGCTGGTGAATTGAAGGGGTTTCTTTTTTTTTTTTTTTCCTTTTTGTCTTTTTTCGTGTCCGGCAACGGATCGCAACCCTCAGTGTTGCGCCCGTACCGGACCGGGACTGGCAACGGGATCACAACCCTCGGTGTTGATAATTAGTATGGCTAGTAACCAAGCCCAAGTTTATGTGTTGCCAGAACCCATCATTTTAACCTTATATATACTTCTTTAATCTAGGGAAGGGGTATTTCTCACACTTAGGAAACCCTTCATAGGAATATTTTGGTATAGTAGAAAGGACATGGAACCTGACAAACCTAGAGTTGAATCTATGAGCTACCTTTTATTTAGTGACCTAAAACAAATCACTTATTTCTATATCCGAAGAAGGAAGATGGTGATAACACATATCTCATGGCTGGTGAATTGAAGGGGTTTCTTTTTTTTTTTTTTTCCTTTTTGTCTTTTTTCGTGTCCGGCAACGGATCGCAACCCTCAGTGTCGCGCCCGAACCGGAGCGGGACCGGCAACGGGATCGCAACCCTCGGTGCTGCGCCCGCACCTCGCTCAGCCAGTGAGCGGGAACCGGTCTGTATGTGGGATCCGAAACCTCGGCGGGAGCGCCACCGTGCTCCCAAGCGGCGCACTGTAGCAGTGCGCCACCGGGCCGGCCCTGAAGGGGTTTCTAATATAGACAAGGCCAACCAACTATGTATACATAGTAATATTAGTGTTCTTTCCTAAGAACACTTTTCCTAAAGTTTTATCTCCCTGGTTTGCATAGTTAGAGGCTCTGACAACCGTGAGCCTTTCTGTTGCTTGAAAATATCCAGGAACTAACTAGCTGATTTCTCCCTCTGCCCCTGAGTGAGCTGCTAGGGTTAAGATGGCACCAAGGAGAGAGACTCTAACTAGGTAAGCCAAAGACGTGTACTTGTATAGCTTTTGACAATGAAATTTGGTTTCTTGGTGCTCAGTTTTTCCAAACCTGACTCTCAGGCAGGATTCTCTGTGATCTGGAGGCTTTTTAAGGAGGGCCATGTGTACCGAACATGGTTCTGGACACCCAGGAAGTTCTACATTTGATATTGGTCACATGAATGGCTAGGAAATTTAGAGGGAAATCTCTGAATGCAGAGAATTTAGTCTTAACTCTTCCTAGGGTAGTCTTCAGGGCAGAAATGGATTAGAAGTTTGGGGAATTTTCCTTTATCATTTGGACTGTGATTTGTGCTTGGAAAGGCAAGTTGCTTTGTTCATAGACCCAGGGCCTGCTGGGGGTCTGCCTATTCTGGGTGTGTAGTTTAGTCAGTTGTTCCAAATGTTTTCTGTGGCTTTCTATCATTCGCTACCTATGAACTTTTACTACAGTTCTGTATGCTTTAGATTCTGGAAGGATTGAGTACGTGTCCTGGCTCTGCCTCATCTTATTAGC